TTTTTTCACCCACGTTTTTCCTTTTTGTAAGGCCATTACGAATTCCTTTAAATAAATTATCAGAATTCGCTGAAGGCTCAGATATTCCTAAAAAAGTTTTTATTGGTGTATAGTACATACGTTATAATCCTCATTCGTTCATTTAAAAAGCCATTGTATGTTATTCCCTATTCTTTCAGTTATTGCAACATACATCTATTGAAATATATCTATAAATCCGTTACCTGTTGGCTATTTTTAAAAATACCTTTTTTGCTGATTTAAAAAGGAAAAGAAAATCGGATCTATTGAAATCCATTTACAAGAAACTAAACAAATACATGGATACGAACAGTAATGAAACTATATACACATGTTTTACCTTCCCAACCATTTTTGAAAGTGAATTTTGATACATCTATATGAAACATCTATTGGCACATGAATATATATTGATTATGTATTGTTTTACCATCTGTTCTCCGACCATTTTTAAACCCTTTTTGGATTTGAAAATAAAATAAAACTGGGTCTATTGAAACATATCCATAATAAACATCGATTGGCACATGGATACGAACAAGGAAAATAAACAAATATATTTTTCATTATCAGTTCCAAGGCCATTTTTAAAGGCCCTTTTCGTGGATTTTAAAAAGAAATGTGTAACTATCGAAACATATCTATAATAAAACTAAAGAAATACATGAATACCAACAGTAATGAAACTAAACAAACTTTTTTTTCATTATTATCTGTTCCCCAGCCACATTTAAAAGCCCCTTTTTGTGGATGTAAAAATAAATTACGGGATCTATTGAAAGCTATCTATAAGAAACATCTAATGGCACATGAATACGAATGCTAATGAATCTAAAACAAATTTTCATTATCTGTTCCCGGCCATTTTTAAAAGCCCCTTTCGTGAAGAAAAGTGGATCTATTAAAACATGTCTATATGAAAAAACTAAGGAAATACATGAATACAAACAGTAATGAAACCAAAACATAATTCTAAAATTATTTGCCCTCAGCCATTTTTAAAAGCCCCTTTTATGGATTTAAAGAGAAAAGAAAAGGGGGATTTAAACCCAGCTTGCGCAATCGGCCGCAAGAGGGCATCGTCGGAGGTAAACACTCGCACCAGCTGGTCGGCCAAACACCCGTGCGAATGGAGGGAATCTTATACAAATGGACTAATTATTGGAACGGTAAGACGTTGTAATAACCAAATGCCATGTTAGAAAGAAAGGGGTTATTCACTAGGATTGTTTGAACGTGTGTCATTTGAGATTCGGTGAGATTTAAGGCATTTTTTTGTCTTGTATTTCATAATCGTCTCTCTCTCTCTGGGCTCTTTTCGAAGTGTCAATGACTGAAGATGTTGATGTGGCACCCGCTGGCCCCTTGATGTGGCAAAAGAGGCCTCATGGGGATGGGAAAATCTGTTGCCTTTGCTTAAGGCATTGGATTAAATGTAGTTTCTTTTTTAGTCTGTAGTTTTTTCGTATCTTTATCGTAAAAATGTAATAAAACTAATTCCATGAGATGGGAGTTCCACATCACTCATAACTTTAGGAATATCCCTATTTGGTTCTCCCAACATTTATATTTTGACTTGTTCTATTCATATGTAATTTTGAAAATATATATCAACAAGAATGACAAGAATTTTATCTTTATTTTTTCTGACATTTTAAACTTCCCAGGGCATAAAAAAATTGGGTCATATTTCCTTTTAAAGGTATATGGTAGGGTTTTGAAAATTCTTATCTGACATCTCCTTCAGACTTACTTATTGTGAAATAACAGCATTAATTTAGTTTTTCTAAATGCCTAAGTCAATTTTGTCTCATTTATGAATGTTATTTGTATGGCATGAGAAGGTTAGTCATTTTTGGAAGGTCTAGAATAAATCATTAAGGGGAGATTTATCTTCCAGGTCAATTGGAAGGAGTTTTAATTGCAAATTATTGCGATATGGCACAGGAAAAGTTACCTTGATATGCATGGGTAAAAATAGTAATTATGAGTATAAAGCTTGAGTGAAGCATTTTGAAGTATTTTATGTAGGATTTTATGTTTTTGTTTATGTTACAGCTTTCTTATTGCAGATGCATGTATTCCCATCCATCTCCTGATTTCTTTCATGTTGCAAGTAAAATGAGACTTTTACATCTCTTTTACCACATATTTCAAATATGTGTCATGAAAATCGGTGATAGTAATCCCAACCTATTAAAACCATTGTTGAAGTATGAATCTAATTGTTATAGAAACAAATTTAAATAATACTTTTTAGTGTAAAAGTATATATCCTTGTTTTATTTTATATATTAGATATATTTTGACATCAATAATAACCACCAGTGTATTTCTACTGGAAATCCTTAACAAATCATTTACGATATTCATTCACCTGTTTCAGGATGGCAGCCAAGATGGTTTGTATTAGATCAGGGAGTTCTTGCTTACTACAAATCACAAGAAGAAGTCAATCAGGGTTCTAAAGGCTCGGTTAAATTGTCAGCATGTGAGATCGTAGGTGAGTTTCTTGAATGATAGTTTCAGTTGCTTGAAATATTGATATGTTGATATATTCGCCGCATTAGATGTATGTCATGTGATGTTCACAAATACTCTGTGCTTTGTCAATTCATGTTCAACTGGACACATTTTCAAATAGTATCTTTCTTAATCTATTATTTCTTTTGCCTTCCAGTTCATCCAACAGATACTATGCGTATAGATATAGTCATTCCATTTGAGCAACATTTTTACCTCAAAGCACCATCGCCCCATGAGAGACATGCCTGGCTTGTGGCTCTTGGTAGTGCCAAAGCCGGCATACCTCCTGCCATTCCGCAAGCCAAAGTAGAGAAGGGTAAGACTGGTGAGAGAATCTCCTATTCCGTTGACAGTAGTTGGTGATATAGTTTTTCTGAAGGATACCAGTAGCCTTTTTGTCCTTATTTTTGCAGTTTTTTTTCCCGTGTTGCTTATTCACAAAATGTGCTAAGATTGGCATATTTTCATATATAATAGGTAGATGTATTAGATACCATTTTTGGCTGTTTTCTTTTTTCCTTCCTTTTTTTCTTTAACAACTATGGAATCACATTCAGCAATGCATAACTTGACTTTATAATTCATTGCTTTTGTATTATTTCTAAAGGGGGATGCAGTCCATCTGAGAATTTTCATAGAAGATACTTTTTATTACATAGTCTGCTTTCATGATTAATCATGAATACTGCCAAATATCTTTAATACACAATGCCTGGAACACACAAAAAGAAAGGCAGATATGGAGGCAGTGCCATGGACGAGCAACTAAACAAAGCATCTAGTTAGGCAGGTTAGTCCAACCATAAAAGATTGTTCTGGGACTCAGCTGAATGCCTTTGCCTCCCTTCCCCCTGACCTACCAGTGTTCCTGCTTGTGGGTGAGCTTAAAATATTCAAGAGGGCCCCTGTCTCTTGGGCCATCAACAAGAAAACTGCATTACTCAGCTTGTAATCAGAAACCTTAATGTATAACTTCAGTACCCCTTATTTCACTTTACTATATTTTTTTCACAAATCTACATGCTCCATATGCACTTTCTGTAAGAGCAGCTAATACTTTAGACTGCAGATCCATTTCCCTTGAAGATTTTTTTATCAGTTGGCCAGCCATCTGTTTGTTTTGGCTTAGGACATCATTTTGAAGGAGCTTCAACATCCTCTATCTCAGCACAACATTATTATTCATTTCAGAACTCTGTCCTTCTTAAATGACTGATTTTTATCCATTCCTGCATCATCATAATTGTGAAATCAGTTTTTACATTCTCTAGCCAAGTTGCTCTTTAGTTCTCAAACATATAAACAAGTTATAATGGAAGGATTGCTACGAAAAGAAATGTTATCTTTCTCAGTGTTCATTTTCTGCAACTACTTATTATATTTGATACATTCATTCATAAGAGGTTTCAGAGAGTTCATTCAGATGTCTTCTTCCTCTGTTGCAAAGGGAACCATCATTCTCTTTAAAGGATTTTAGGAGTTGCAATTGTTACATAGACATTACAACTCAGAAATAATGTTTTTGTAGCATGAGTTTTACATTAGTGTAGGTTAAATTCAGGTGTTTTTATTTTTCTCTTGGTTGTATGTTTGATGTGAAAAAGTAGCATCCCTTTTCAGTCTTGATTAAATGATCTCCTCTGTAATCATGTAATTATTATATTTTCTGTTTTAGAGACTTTTTTTTTTTTTTTTTTTTTTTTTTTTGAAATGTTTATTTTTTTTTAATTTTTCAACATTCATATAGATTGATCTTATTGAAGGATGCAGAAAACCAGCATTTCATTTTATTTGAAAGATTAGGTTGATTTTTAAAAGTTTCTGTTACACAAAAAATTGTAATTATGATGAAAAAAAAAATGAACAGCAAATCAGCTGACTTAAGTGTACTGAATGCCACATTATTCAATGCCGCACATCTCTTTTTCAGAGCCTGAACGTGATACTGTTAAAGTTAAAAAGTCGGAGTTGAGACTTACGTGTGACTTACTGATGAAGCAAGTGTATAGTGTGAAGACAGCTGCCAACAACCCGGATGGACCAGATCTTGAGGTTCGCATATACTTGTTTTTGAGTTAATGTTATCCTTGTATTTCCATGATAAAAAAACAAAACAATGATATATGAAAAAAAAAAAAAAAAAAAACAAAAAAACAATGATTTAGCTTTTTTCCTTTACTGGTCATGTAAATGTTCACTTCTTTGCATTTTTCTGTCGGTCTCTTTTCCACTCTCCATACTTCTTTCTCCTTTCCCCCTGCCCTTTTCTCATCTCCTTCTCATTCCACTTATCACCTCACCCCTCTCCTTCAAACAAAAGAAAAAGAAATAAAGAGAGCGAGAGGGAAAGAAATATAATGAAGGAAAGAGAGAAAGAGAGATTCCTGGGTTCATAATGAATCCAGAGGATGTTAATGGTGTAATATTCTTAAGAGAAGAGAGAGAGTTTCTAAAGCTAAGCAGAAGTCTATCACTACAACCCTGAGGTGATAAACCAACTTAAGCTCGTAGGTCACGCAGGACAGCCAGGACCAATCTATCATCTGCTGGTTTGCTGCAGTGACACCTGATAAGCGTTCTCACACTCAAGGTTAACGTGTTCCGAACTGTTTCCCTCCCCCTTCCCTCCTCCTCCCTTCTCTCTCTCTCTCCCTCCCTCCCTCCTCCTCCCTCCCTCCCTCCCTCCTCCCTCCTCCTCCCTCTCCTCTCCCTTCTCCCTCTCCCTCTCCTCTCCCTCTCCCTCTCCCTCCCTCTCCCTTCCCTTTCTCTCCTCTCCCTCTCCTCTCCCTCTCCCTCTCCTCCCTCCCTTCTCCCCTCCCTCCCTCTCCCTCCGCTTCCTCCCTTCTCCCCCCTCACCTCTCTCCCTCTCTCATCTCTCTCTCTCTCTCTCTCTCTCTCTCTCCTCTCTCTCTCGTCTCTCTCTCTCTTTCCTCCTCTCCTCTCTCTCTCTCCTCTCTCTCTCTCCTCTCTCTCTCTCTCTCTCTCCTCCCTGTCTCCCCTCTCTCCCCCTCTCTCCCTCCCCTCCCTCTCTCCCTCCCTGTCTCTCTCCTCTCCTCTCCCTGTCTCCCCTCTCCCTCTCCCTCTCTCTCCTCCCTCTCCTCTCCTTCTCCTTCTCCTTCTCCTTCTCCTTCTTCCCTCTCTCTCCTCTCCCTCTCTCCCTCCTCCCTCTCCCTCTTCCTCTCCCTCTCTATCCCTCTCTATCCCTCTCCCTCTCCTCTCTATCCCTCTCCCTCTCCCTCTCTAATCCTCTCCCTCTCCCTCTCTATCCTCTCCCTCTCCCTCTCCCTCTCCCTCTCCCTCTCCCTCTCTCCTCTCTCCCCTCTCGCCTCTCTATCCCTCTCCCTCTCCCTCTCCTCTCCCCCTTCCCTCTCCTCTCTCTCCCTCTCCCTCTCCCTCTCCCTCTCCTCTCCCTCCCTCTCCCTCTCCTCTCCTCTCCTCTCCCTCTCCCTCTCCTCTCCCTCTCCCCTCTCCCTCTCTCTCTCTCTCTCTCTCTCTCTCTCTCTCTCTCTCTCTCTCTCTCTCTCTCTCTCTCTCTCTCTCTCTCTCTCTCTCTCTCTCTCTCTCTCTCCTCTCCCTCCCTCTCTCCCTCTCCCATCTCTCCATCTCTCCTCTCTCCATCTCTCTCTCTCTCACTTTCTCCTCTCGGTAAGTGGACGGAATAACAGGAGTGTTGGCGCACCCCGGCAGTTTCCCATTTGCCGCCTGGCCCGTTCAGTAGTTTATCTCTCCCTCTCCCTCTCCCTCTCTCCTTCTCCTTCTCCTTCTCCCTCTCCCTCTCCCTCTCCCCTCTCCCTCTCCCTCTCCCTCTCCCTCTCCCCTCTCTATCCTCTCCCTCTTTCCCTCTCTATCCCTCTCCCTCTCCCTCTCTATCCTCTCTCCTCTCCCTCTCTATCCCTCTCCCTCTCCCTCTATCCCTCTCCCTCTCCCTCCTCCCTCCCTCTCCCCTCTCCCTCTCCTCTCCCTCTCCCTCTCCTCTCTCCCTCTCTCTCCCTCTCCTCTCCTCTTCTCTCCCTCTCCCTCTCCCTATCTATCCCTCTCCCTCTCTATCCCTCTCCCTCTCCTCTCCCTCTCCTCTCCCTCTCCCTCTTCCTCTCCTCTCCCTCTCCCTCTCCCTCTCCTCTCCCTCCCTCTCCCTCTCCCTCTCCCTCTCCTCTCTCTCTCTCTCTCTCTCTCTCTCTCTCTCTCTCTCTCTCTCTCTCTCTCTCTCTCTCTCTCTCTCTCTCTCTCTCCTCTCTCCCTCTCTCCTCTCCCTCTCCTCCCTCCCTCTCTCTCCCTCTCTCCCTCTCTTCCATCTCTCCCATCTCTCCCTCTCCATCTCTCTCTCTCTCTCTCTCTCGGCAAGTGGACGGAATAACAGGAGTGTTGGCGCACACCGGCAGTTTCCCATTTGCGCCTGGCTCGTTCAGTAGTTTACAAGCGACATTTGGCACCTAAAAGCTTTTGTTTTGCTATAATTTATAAAAATATTAAAATTTTGAAGGTTTACCTTCATTATAGTTGCTATTGCCTAAAATTTTCACCATATAAATGAAGCCGCTACTATCTGAGATAAACAAACTCCGTCCGACGAGCCAGTGGCACGGGAATGGTCATGATATGATACCATCTGTTTTTCTCTCCACAACAGCCATGGCATGTACGTACATGCCACCTGGCGGCTAGTGGTGAAGCACTACATCTGACTTTTGAAGATAGTTCAGATTAAATTACTCACTTGACATAGTGGACTTTCCTTAATCTGTACAAATTGGTACAAAGAAAATACAGGATATATGTATTGAATGTATAAAGTACACAGTAATTTGCTGTCATGAGATAGATCTTTTATATGTGTACCAAATGACCTGTTGTGTTTTTTATTCTCATTATTCGAAGTTGGGAAAATCACGTATTTTCAGGTACTTTTCACCGTTTATGACTGATTTTTTCAGTATTTTTAACATTTAATCTTTCATTATTTACTTCACAAAAGTGTAAGGACATAGCACCTGGTGAAAACTATAAAATACTGTGATGGTGTAATCCCTGGTTATGATACCTAAATATTTAAAGGGTTTAATATTTTTTCCTCTTCCCTTCCTTTTCAGAAACTAGATGAATCAACGGCTTTACTGACAGCAACATGTGATACATTTATTCGTACCTTGGAGGAGTGCATGAAGTTAGCTAACACATCCCCAACGCCACAGCTTTCCGGCGATCCCCCAGTTCCTCCCATTACTCTCCTCAAGGTTAGTTAGTCTAAATCAGGAATAATCTTCAATTGCACAGAAGTGTGAAGTTATTGGCATACATGTTAATGTGTACCAGGTTGAAAAGGTAGTAGGCCTTGGGTGAGCAAAAAGGAATTGTTTCATGTTGATTTGTGTCATAGATTTGAAATTTATAACTTTATCTTTGTACTTAATCAGCAAAGACTTTAGATATATCATAATTAATAGATATGCTTATAAGAAAATTGTAAACCACATTTTGCATTTCAAAGAAAATAATAATGATAACAAACTGTTGTATGAGGTGCCTGTTACTCTTTACACTTGGAAGATGATCAAAATTCAGGGAACTGAGACATCTACAATTTAAATTACTGTACACCTATACCTTACTTGTCAACCATTTGTGTGTGCTAAACTGTTGTTTGCAGGTTTGGCCAGTAATGATTGATTGAGGAATAAACCCCATAAAAGTAGGCTCAAAAGTCTTTTTTAGTCAACGTCATCGAGGGTAGGAAATTATATATTTCCTTTGCTTCTGATTTTTCCCACAAGTGGCTAACATTATGTGATGCTCATATAGGAGCTATGATTAATAGCCATTCTTAGTTACTGAACTACTACTTTCTTTAACCCATCGCTGACGGCTAAAAATTTTGGCAAGTTGACGTATGCACGGGCTTGTTGGCGCGCACCAGCAGTTTCCCCTGTTTGCGCCCGGCTCGATCGGTAGTTTGCGAGCAACATATGGCACCTAAAAGCTTTTATTGTGCTAAAATTTATAAAGATATTAAAATTTTGAAGGTTTACCTTCATTATAGGTGCCATTGCCTAAAATTTTCACCATATAAATGAAGCCGCTACTATTGGAGAAAAACAACCTCCATCCAACAAGGCAGTAGCGCGGGAATGGGCATGACATGATGCCCCCGGCGTTCGGTCCAAAACAGCCATGGCATGTACGTACGTGCCACCCGGCGGCAACGGGTTAACCATTTTTCTATATTAACCCTGATCCAACTTGAACAGATGGACCAAATCAGTTTTATAAAGGGTTTAAGTCTTTGTTATGTCTTGCATATTCAGAAGACTGTAGTGGTTATTTGATACCTTATATCGTGTATTTTTCTTTGTTGTTTAGGAGAGAAAAAGTTCTTCATCCACACCTGTTGTTACCAGACAGAATTCTGCAGAAAGGTAAGGTTGTTGTCCTGCTATGAATAGTTGAGCAGCATGTATATGAGTGTCATTTATTATACTGTTTGCTGGTAATTCAGATATTTGTGTAAAAAGAAAATAAACCTTTAAAATAGTCAAAGTTTGATTTAAAAAGTGTTCCACTTTACCCTACTTTTCAGATATTCACAAAACAATTGCTCTGCTGTTTTGAATTGTATCATGACTTCATGGAACATAATATAACATAATAGTAATATATATGTGTGTGTGTGTGTGTTTGGATATGTATATATATATAATATATATATATACACATATATATCTGCGTGCGTGGCTGGGTGGCTGGGTGGCTTGGTGGCTGCATAGCTGCGTGTGCGTGCGTGCATATATATACGTACATATATATATATATATATATATATATATTATATATATATATATAATATATATATATATATATATATATATATATATTATATATATATATATACACGCACATACATATATATATACATATATATATATATATATATATATATATATATATATGCACATACATATGTATATATACATACATATGCAGTATAGACATAAATATTTTTTTGTTTTTTTTCATGAATATGCTGAATTTATGGAAGTTGTTCCTTTTCTTCATCCTAGGAGGACAGAGTAGCAGATAAGGAGACCAAGAACAAGAATTGAATCCTGCAGCTTCAATACAAATGTACTGAAGAAAGTTCAAGTGCAACTTACATCCTGAATGAAAGCTTGAAGAATGTGAAAAAAGATTTATTGGTATATGTGCATTTTTTATTTTTCATTTATTTTCTTTCTTTTTTTTGCATTCTTTTCCTTTGTGGAAGCAGTGATTTGGGGGTTTGACTTGTGTATTTTTTTATGTATTATTTATAATACTCTTATTTGTTTAAGATTTTATTTTATTTTGATTATATATTGTGATTAGATATACTTACACATACAGTATGTATGCACAGGCTTTCATACAAACTCTGTAACAGACACATATACATTTACACACACACACACACATACACACATATACACACGCACACGCACACGCACGCCACACGCGCACACACTCTCACACTCTCACTCTCACTCTCTCACTCTCATCTCTCACTCTCTTCTCTCTCTCTCTCCTCTCTCTCTTTCTTTCTCTCTCTCTCTCTCTCTTCTCCCTCTCCTCTCTCCTCTCTCTCTTTCTCTCTTCTCTCTCTCTCTCTCTCTCTCTCTCTCCTCTCTCTTCTCTCTCTCTCTCTCTCTCTCTCTCTCTCTCTCTCTCTCTCTCTCTCTCTCTCTCTCTCTCTCTCTCTCTCTCTCTCTCTCTCTCTCTCTCTCTCTCTCTCTCTCTCTCTCCCCCCCCCCCTTTACTCTAAAGTATAGATTTTGTACACTTTATTTGTTACATGATACACAGTATTTTACTTGTATGTATAGTTACACTCATCACTTTAACAGTACAGTCGCCAATAAGTTCAGCTAAGTATTTTTATTATCACTTAGATTGAAGAAAACAAGAACAGGTTAATCACAGGTTTGTCTGTTTTCATGTGTGCGTATATACAAAATATATGTATATACAATATTTAGATATGTATTTATATACACATATGGGTGTGGATGTGTGTGTGCTTGCCAGTGTTTGAGAGAGTACATACATTTATTTATATGTATGTAAATATATTTAATTTTTTGTGGAAAATATTCCTTAAAAAAAAAAACAGTAGATTGCACTTTGACAATCATAAAACAAAATTGGCAATAGCTTCAACCAAATATGAGCTAGAGGCACTTGTATGCGTTTTGATCTCACTCAACATTTTACCGATGAATTCCAAGTGACGTACTTCGGTGTAGTATTAAGGATTTTCGTCAAACTTCAGATATGTTTTTTTATCCTTATTATTATTTTTATTGGTCTTTTTATTATTTTTGTATGTACATATATAGGTTTTTAATTCCCGAGATTATAACTATGATGTTTTCAGCTACTTTTTTTTATATTCTCTCTCTCTCACTGTGTTTGTCACTGTTTTGTATAGAGAACTTTGTAACCATGAAAATCATATCGTTAGTTTCCTATTTACAGCCCACGTGGCAATAGGATATTCAAGAGATTTGACTTTCTTTAAGCAGCTGCACAAGAACATACCTGTATTAAGTGCACTGTAAACATCTACATTGAATACAACACATGTTAACACTAGCTAAAGAGATCTGACATGTTGGAGTTTGAAGAAATTCTGAAAGACTGTTCATGTATCCCGTCTGCAATTTTTGTAGTTCCACAGACATTCCTGAATTGTTTGCGAGGGGATTGCATTTTCAATTTGTAAATGACCAGTTTTGTAAGTGTAATGAAATTAATTCCCATTGCCTTTGATTTTAGTAATGCAGGATTTTGCTGTTCTTTATATAAAAGTTGCATGTATATATATAAAAGTCCTTCCTTCCCTTGAGTGTCTGGGTTTGATCATTTCGTGATTCCAAGTAAGTATTCTGAGATTTTATGATTTTTAGACAAATGGTATGCGATGCTTTATTCTTTAAAGGATATATGGGAATATTTCTTTTGAAAAGTTTTTTTTTATACTATGTAAGATAGAAATTTATAAACTAAATGTGAGGCCAAAGGAAAGAGTTATATTCATGTAGGTATAAAGCAATGATTATTTAAATTATTGTTAATATATGTAGATTATAAATAATCCATATTTGTAAATGCTGTACATTCACATGGCCAATGGTCAAGAGCATTCAGGATTACCACTAACATAGAACTATAAGGTAAGGAATTAGTTATTGTTTCCTGTGCATTTCCTTGTCTTGCAACATACATAAAACTGTTATTCTTCCTGTCTCAAACATGGGAGATATGCTGTGTATTTTTTTGTTAGGAATATGTTATTATTTTTTTTAATGTTCTCCTTTTACTATGAATTTTTCATGTTTGCTCTTTTAAAGACAAACGGAAATCATATTTCTAAAATTCACAAGAATCAAAATTGTATTGATTACCATTAGGATATATATATATATATATATATATATATATATATATATATATATATATATATATATATATATATATATATATATATATATATATATATATATAGACATGCATGCATACATATACATGTGTAGGCCTATACAATTACATTTATACACATAGATACATACACATATATAAAGACACACACATACATATAGACACACACATATGCATACATACATTTATATACTTATATACTACCTGCATTTACATACATACATTTACATATTCATATATGTATGGATGTATATATGTATATATGCATGCATTTATATATACACACATGCATATCTAAATTTTGACATCTACAAACACAATAATTCATATGCTCATAAACTCCTATTTCCATGTATACATGTGCACATATTCATATATGTGCATGACCTCACACACAACATACAAAATTACATGCTTTGAAAAAGTGTAACTTCACATGTTAAGTTTAGCCAGAAAACTATACCAGTGTAACGATGCTATGTACAAAATTAGTGGCACCAGTACTATGCTTAGTGGTATTTTGAATACCTTTATGGCTTTGAAATTAGTACAATATAGTGCATATGATCTTTCTTATGTCTTAGTAATGGCAGCACAAGGCTAGTATGGCAGCGGTTTGTTAAGGAAATAATTATAGATATACAGAAGTAGTCTGTCATAGAGGAATATGCAGTAGGAACAGAGCATAATATTCATTTTATTTCATATTACACATATGGGAATGCAGTTTTGCAGTCCATGTATGTACGTACTGAAGTTATGTAAGTTCAGTATATAGATTTTATGTATATATACATATTGTGTAAGTTTTGCAATGGCTGATGACTGGCATCTAGTTTTCAGTACATACCTCAGGAAAACTGTTTTGAGTTTTTTGGGGTTGTAGTGTATGACCGACGTTTGCTTTTCGTTTTTTTGTCTGCCTTACAACTTTGCAGACTCAGACTGTGATTGTTATGTAATGAGATTGTCCATCCATGGATAGAGGGTGGAGAATGGTTTATGAAGAATTACTTTGTTTGTGTTGCAATTTGTGTATAATCTTAGTACTTTTCTTTCTTTTTACATTTAGGGAATTTTTCAGAATTGCAGTGATCTTCATAAATGCATTCATTCCAAGTATAGTATAGTATTTTGTGTGTTAATCCCCATATATTAGTTGTTTGTATTTCAGACACTGCATTTTTAATCACTGATACCTGTTATATGATTCCTGTTTTGTTATTGTCTTTTTTGGAATGTAACACTTTGAACAAGAAAATCTAAGAAGTGCAAAATAAACTGTCAATTTTTTTTAATTAGTTATTAAGGGATGGAAGTGAGACCTTTTAAAGTTTCATTTATTATCCAGATGAAGCTAATCAGTTATTTTCTTGGATGCTATTGTGCTTTGCTATTACAAAAATGTGATTACTACTACAGCTACATCAACATTCATATTCTATATAATTTTTGAAAGTTCAAGGCCTGATTGAACAGAATGCTAGATAATTTGACATCAGTAACCAATTTAAGGGTCTGTAAATGAATGGGAAGTGGTTTTCACACACTAACTCCATCATTAACATTCTCACTCTCTCTCTCCCTCTTGTAATGACATTGAGTATGTCATTCCAATGGTTTTACAAATATGCATTTGTAAATGAGTCTTGTTCTTGAAGAAAGTTGCTTGACCTAATATTGAAATAATTTTGTAGACAGGAAGAGTTAATACCCTCGGTTTACCAAAAGGGAAGGTAAAGTTAATCATAATGTTATTCACTTCCTATTCAAGAACAAAATGTTTTGTCTCTTTTATTATCTCTGTTTTGAACATTACCATTATGTTTGTCATAAAGAATGACTTAATATGATTTATGTCTAGAAAAGCTTATCAAGTTTTAATATGCTAGGGGAAGGGCCTGATTTAATAAGGTTCATAAATTGTCCTGTGTTAACTTTTGATTTGTATGGGACCAAGGTAGGCATAGGTTACTTTGTCTTTATTTGTAAGAGGTGATTGCTTTCAGTTGGTCCACTCCTGTTTGTTTGTGTTTGTTTTAATATCTTTACATATATATAATATATATATATATATATATATATATATATATATATATATATATATATATATATATATATATATATATATAAAATATGTATGTATGTATGCATGCATGCATGCATACATACAAAGTGGTTGCCTAAGTTTTTGAATAAAAACCTGAAAATTTAATGTGTTTTGCTATCCCTAAGTTGAATGATTGCTTCATTCCTCTTGTACAAAATATTTTCCTGAGGAAATTAGGTAAGTTGGTATCATGAAGATCTTGAATGAAACAAACTCCAGCATGGGATGCCGATGGACACTAATTTGAGCATACTGATCTTCGTAAATAACCATCGATAGGGGTTGTTGTGATTGCCCTTTTTTAATAAATAACTTTTTTTGAGAGATGTAACCCCAGCATCAAACTGTATCATTACCTGAGTGCTTTAAGTATCAGGATTAATATTCTTGCTTAGATACCCCCCCCCCCCCATTGCCCCCAATTCCTGGCTCATTGTTGTTGGGGGAGGGGGGGGGGAGAGGCTCAATATAAGGGATCACCCTTAACTTGAACCTTACCCTTTGCCTAAACAAACTATGCATGGTCATTTCTCCTCCCCTTTTCCTTTTCTATGCTGGAAAATTGCTCTTGCCCAGTTATGAATAGGGTACACCTGCCTCACACATTCATACCTAATAACACACTCCAACTCTGTTTCTCATGCAATATTCCTCTTTCAGTCCCACATATCCTTCTATCCTACCCTCGCTATACAGAAGCCCGCACCCTTGCTTTCCTTACTTATCCTCTACTCCCTAACCCCCGACCTGTTGAACATCCTCACATAATCCACCACCTTTCCAATTGACAACCTGTTCTTCCTCAGACATATAAATACCCTCCATATCATATAACCATCCTTAATCCTTTACCCTTCTTATATAAATCTTTATCCTAC